GCATCCGCGGGCCTGGACGGCGCCTATCGCTACCCAAGTCAGTGATCATGAAGGCGAATTCGTCTCCGGATCCCCCCATTAGGGCAGAAAATGCTTTTCGAAAGGCGTGAAAGGGCGAGGAAGGCTCCGGCGTGAGAGCCTTTCCATGGAGGGTGGCGCTTGCCCTGGCAAACCGTGCCTCTCTGGCTCCTTTCCCACCAACGAAGACGCCGCGCGTTTGGGTGGCGAAGCCCAAAACCGGGAACGCAAGGCCCCGGGGGAGCTGCTCTGGGCTCGGTTGTGCCTGTGGGAGCGAGCAGGCGTCTCTCGGTGCTGAATCCCATTTTTTTTAGGATTTTTCTTTTAGGATTTTTTAGGATTAGGCTGCCCCACCGAACGGTTGCGATCGCTCGCTGACGCAGCCCTTGGGGGTCTGCAGGCGCCGCGTGTGAATTAAGAACCCGTTACCGGGCTCTGGGAGGTGAGGGCAGCGTCCTCTGCCGCGCTGGCCTTGGTTTGGTGGTTTGAACGTGAACCCTTAGTGCTCTTTCTCTCCTGGTTTTGCACGTGTCTGTCGTAGGAGCTCAGGTATCTTTAAATCTGATGGAAAATCCTCACCTGAGAACCCGTCTCTGCCTCCTCAGAGGAGAAGCAGGGGGGTCCCCGGGCTTTGTTTTGGGGGGCAGATGAGCTTCAGGAGGAAGAACCCAACGTTCCATCCCAATATTGTGCATCAGTGGAGCCAGAGCTCCAGGCTCCCAGCGGGAAGCGGGAGGGAAGAGAAGCGTAGGAACCGTGGTGCCACTTTCACACCGATCCTTCCCTCCCCTCTGCCTTCATAGAATCCTGGAATGGTTTGGGGTGGAAGGGACCCCGAGAGGTCACCCAGGAGGGGGTGCAGCAGCAGGGCCACCTTGAACCAGAGCAGGTTGCCCACAGCCCCGGCCAACCTGGCCTGGAATGTTCCCAGGGATGGGGCCTCCACCACCGCCCTGGGCAACCCCTCCCGCTCTTTCCCACCCTCATCCTAAAGAATTTCCCTCCTCCTCCCCTCGCAGTCGTTCTCGGCGGCTGCGC